CAGCAACAAGCATCAATAGGCCCTCCAGCAGCCAGCAACAATAGACTCCTCCCTCAACAGGAGATCCCTCCCAACAACTGACTCCCTAGTAACATAACACTTTTTACCAGCAACAATAGACCCCCATGCAAAAATAGATTCCCATCAGTGACAATGAACCTTCCAGCACACCACAGCACCCCTTACCATTACATATATTTAGTGCTGGAGGTGCAGGAGCTGCGTTTCCCGCAATCCTGCTGGAAAAAAAAGCCCTTAATGCATGAATGGGTTAGATCACAGGTGTCAAACACAAGGCCTGCGGGCTGAATCTGGCACTCCAGGCCATTTCATGTGGCCCTTGCACCTCTTCTGGAGCTACAGAACACCCTTTTCTCTGTCTCCACCTTGTCTCAGCAGTTGGCAGCTGAGAGGAGGGCAGAACTCCTACGCCTCTCATTGGAGCTGCAGCACCCCCTCTTCTCTGCCTCCCCTGGTCTCAGCATTCAGCAGACTCAGGTAACTGACTCCACTCCTCCTCTGGTCCTCCTCCAGACCCTGCACTTTCTGCTTTCCTGCTCTGCCCCCAAGGGGGTGAACGGTGATGTCAGGGAGGGTGGGGATTCCTGACATCTGATGTAATGGGGGGGGGTGCTCAGGACACCTAGTCTTACAGATACAACCGGCCCTTTGAGGGCAACCATAATGCTGATACAGCCTATGATGAAATGGAGTTTGACACCCCTGGGTTAGATGTTCTTTAGTAGCTTTAAGACTGTATAATTGCCATATATTTTTGAGAAGATTAACATAGGGAAAAACATCTAAACCCTGAGCTCTGAGGGTGTAGGTCATGTGGTAGTAACCACAGGAAATATAGCATCACCAAGTCTACTTCTGCCAGCTACTTATGTCCTGAAACATTCTTCAAAGTCTGTTTTGAATGAACTGTAATATGGTGTATTTGGGCACACAGGAACGATTAATCAAAAGCCTTGAGATGTTGGCCATTAATATATTGGTTTGTTTTACAGTGTGGTATACTAGGTTATTAATTGAGGGCTATACCCTGCCAGAAGTAAGAAAACACTACGAAGCTTAATGGGCACTGGTAGAGCTGTGGTTATAGAAACAAACCATATATTAGGAGCTCATAGAAAAACTTCAGTGCATTATAGACATTTCATAACCAAGTACTTTTTTGATCATATATACATATATAAATTGTATATTGACTTTTATGGTAAGTATTCATGACAACCTTGTAAAGTATGACTTAGCCCTATTTTGCGCCAAATAATGATGTTTTCATTTTAGGAACAGCTTTAGAAACATCAAAGCTACAAAAGTGGCAATTAGTTTATAAAGTACACACCTTCTGGTACAAATGCACATATCTCTAGCTACAGATATTTACTAAAGGGCACCAAAAGCACCCATACCTGGGGGAATCAGTTATCTGAATATTGCTCCTGGAGTTAGCCCTTGTGCTGTTTTTGCATTTTTTGCACATGCGTTAAAAAAATTATTTCAGGCCTGAAGATTACACACACCCCCAAAACATTATGTATTTTATGAAAGAAGATGCCTTAGAGAATAAAATAGTGGTAGTTCCAATTGTTTATGTCTCCGGATATTACTACAAAGGTCTGGGAAACACAAAATTTCAGTAAATAGCACACTAAAGAGAACTTTAGGCCAAACAAATGCAATAAATTACGCACATTTTTGGTAAAAATAAAAGATGAGGTTGCGCTGAGTAAATACAGTAGATACCCAACATGCCAAACATTAAATTTATGTGTGCCTATGAAATGGCGACAAACTTCAGTACTGTTTATTTTCTATAGGTGAAGTTTCAAAAGCCCCTATAGGTCATCCGTTTGGTGTTACGGAGGAGGTCTTGTGCTAGAATTATTGCTTTCACTCTGGCATGAGCAGCGATATGTAACATGTGTATTGCAATCGACGTTTTCAAGAGTAGACGCCCGACATGTGTGTTTACGCTTGTATGTGTGTATACGTGGGGGTAGCGTCAAAATTTTTGGTAGGATGGATGTAATGTGCTTCGGTGTAACTTTATTTTTTGCAAAAGAAATATTTTTTTTTACTTAACTTTTTTTTCTTCATCACGTAGGAGACACAAAGTCCCCTATGTTATGATTTTTAGGTGACAGGTTCTCTTTATTGAGTCTCCTGTGGTCTCCGATAGATGTATTGCAATGCAGATCGCATTGCAATCAGGGGCGGACTGACCATTTGGAAACTCGGGCACAGCCCGAGGGCCCGGGGTCAGTAGGGGGCTCCATGAGATACCCCTGGTACCTTTTTCATAGTCTTTTTTGAGTTTGGGCAAGGACACAGGGGCCCATGATCCCCTATTGCCCGGAGGCCCCATGAGTTGTCAGTCCGCCCCTGATTGCAATACATGTATCCCCGGCTATTCCTGCCAGGGAAAGTGACATCCAAGACCTGGAAGTGACGTCATCCCTCCACCCACCAGCACCCGCCATGGTGCTCCCCGAGCCCACAGATGGGCAGCAAGGCACATGACACTTGTACAGTCTCTCTCACAAGAACCAGGCAGTAGATGTCTTTTCAGGCTTAATTGCTGGTTAAACTTGGATGAGGTGCGGAAAAGCTTTGGGATACTTCAGAATTTAGTGCATAGATGTTTGGTGGACTCTTTCTATTCTGTCTACTCTCCTGATGAAGGCAGATTTGCTGAGATTAGAGACACAAGCACTTCTACGACTCCCAGCAGGGCACATCCCACTTTAGCAAAACTGACTCACAAACAGTCTCTAGGATCCCACTTCCAGGCCTCTACTCACTGTGTCTCTAGATACTTGGATACCTCCTGTCCAGTAGTGGCAAGACACTGTCCTGAGAATTTCCATTCTGCATCCTCTGTGCACCTCCTTTCCTTTACTCTGAGCTTCTGCCAGGACAATAGACCACCCCCACCAGCTCCACTTAGCTGGGACCTCAGTGGACTCTCCCTGTAGGCTTCAGTTGACTTGCCCAGAAAGGCATCAGCCTTCCCAGGATGAGATCTCCTCCCTCATGACATAAACCCTGCTTTATGTCTTAGACTATTTATCTCCTTCTTAGCCACCTACTGGGCACAACCAGCCCCTTCACCAGGATTGGCTGAGAGAAGTAGTTGAGTCTGCAGCATGTGAAGCACAGAGCCATCAAATCTAATCAAACACTCCTCCACTGTTCACAGAGGAGTCCAAACTACTAAATTTACCTGAACCTTTCTAGCAACCTATTCTTGGAGGGTGCTCCACAGCCACCACATCTAAAGATTGGTAAGTTGCAATATATTATATTTTTGATTTTTGTGTTGATAACTGCTTTTATTTCATGATTACTAATGAAACTAATTTTACTTCGAAAGGAGTGTGCGGGGGAGGGGGTTAAAAAATAATCTTCCTCAGCTGCCACCTATGCCAGATATGTCACAGATGGGTGTCCTATATAAAAAAAAAAAAGCCTAAATTTCCAGGTTTTAGTATAACCGGTCAAGAAATGAGGTCAGAAGCAATACATTATAGATGAACAAATATAATTTTGGCAATTGAAATCTCCATGCATGTGGCTCAAGGAATGACTTGATAGAGCTCTATGTTGGTAAACAACACAGAGCTCTCTTCAGACAGTAGCGATATGCCGTTTTCTTTTCGCCTTGCAAAGCAGGGAGTAAACACCGGTACATTGGTTAGTAAAACAGTACACAGTACACATTGTTAGGAACACATTTAACCCCTTGATCAGCCTAGATGTAACCACTTCCCAGACAGTGTCAGTAGTACCATGACAGTGTATATAATTAGCACTGATTCCTGTATTAGTGTCACTAGAGATGTCAGTGGCAGTTAGTCAGCCACCCCCACGTCAGTTAGTATCAGTTTGTCTGCTGCACTATTGCAGTCTCGCTATAAGTCGCTGATCACGGCCAGTACTAGCATGAAATAAATAAATAAATAAATACAAATTCCAGTATGTGTACCATAGATTGTAGATGCTATAACTTTCATGCAAACCAATCAATATACACTTATTGGGATTTGTTTTTACCAAAGACATGTAGCAAAATACATTTTGGCCAAAATGTATTAATTTTTTTTTTGTTTTATAGCAGAATGTAGAAAATATTGTTTTTTTTCAAAGTTTTGGGTTTTTTTTAATCTACTTAGCAAAAAATATAAAACCCAGTGGTGATCAAATACCACCAAAAGAAAGCCCTATATGGGTGGAAAAAATGATATAAATTTTGTTTGTGTACAGCAATGCATGACCGTGCAATTACCAGTTAAAGTAGCACTGAACAGAAAAAAATGGCATGGTCTTGAAGGGGGTAAAACCTTCTGGAGCTCAACTAGTTAAATTAAACAACTCATAAAAAAAGTAGTTTTAATAAAAGTTCATTTGATTCTTAATTTTCATTTGTAATGCAGATTTTAGTGGCCTAATTTTTTATTTATTGTTAAGGGAACAATATATATGAAAATGTTTAATTCCAAATGAAAATGATTTGAAAACTGTTTCACTTCAGCTTTTTTTGTTTGAAATAAAATTCAAGGAAAAGAAAGAAGTAAACAAAAGACATTGTGATGCCATCGCGTTTTCTTGATGCTAACCTTTTTTCTTACTTCTAGCTTAACTTGACAATGACCATTTTTCAAATTTAACACCTTTAACAGATTGTGTCAAATTCAAAAATGCGTTAACACTTGTTGGCTGTAGAAGCACACAGCTGGCTTTTTGGCTGGATCGGGCTTTCCATGGCCTCACAGCTATAATATTTTCCAGCGTAATCTCAAGCTAGTAACATTAAACCATTTTTCTTTTTTCACAACCGATGATTATCTTCCAATATAAAAATCTAGTAGTATTAGGTAGCACTGAATTCCATGGTACACCACCCCGACAAAGATAATTAACTTACAGTAGGATCTGATAATATTCTCATTATTACATTTCTGTTTACTCTTCCTCCCTTTCTGGAACACTAGAATGTCAAAGTCGTGCTTTTCTAAAAACATTTACACTGGATTCATATTTCTCCATTCCTGTGCATTGCGTTATTATGTGTGTTAATATGCAGTGCGTCACATGCAGGGACGGACTGACCATTTGGAAACTCGGGCACTGCCCGAGGGCCCGGGGTCAGTAGGGGGCCCCATGAGATGCCCCTGGTACCTTTTTCATAGGCTTTTTTGAGTTTGGGCAAGGACACAGGAGCCTCATGATCCCCTATTGCCTGGGGGCCCCATGAGTTGTCAGTCCGTCCCTGGTCACACGTTAATGTGTGTTGTGCTAGGAAAGCCCATTTTTTGGACTGGGCTACCAATGTATAGGAAGGGACCAAAAATCTGGACATCATTTTTTCAGGTGCAGCACTATATGTGTGTCAGAGGCAGGGCTGCTATGAGAAACCACGGGGCCTCATACAGCCAACCTGACAGCCCCCCCAACAGCTTACTATGATTCACTTATGAATGAACACAGTAAATGATTAGTACCGGTCACTTATTATGTTCATTCAATAAAAGAAGGGGCTGGTAAATGTGACATATTTACCAAACCATTCCCCCACTTCTCCATACGGAAGGATCCTAATGTGTGCTTGCAGCTTCCAGTGGGAAGGAAAGGAGGGAATCTGGTGGGAAGGAACGGTGCTTGACCTAGTGCCATGAGGTGCCATTCAAAATGCTGGCCTGCGTTCCGTACCGGAAGACTGGTGGTACCCCCTTATCTATGGCCCTGGTCAGAGGTGCTTGCCCTAGTGCCAAGAGGTGCTTTTCAAAATGCTGGCCTGCGTTTCATACAGGAAGACTGGTGGGCCCTGGTCAGATGTGCTTGCCCTAGTGCCATGAGGTGCCATTCAAAATGCTGGTCTGTATTCATCCCCTTATCCATGGCCCTGGTCTGCTGCCCTAGTCAGAGGTGCTTGCCCTAGTGCCATGAGGTGCCATTCAAAATGCTGGCCTGTTTTCCATACATGAAGACTGGTGGCATCCCCTTATCCATGGCCCTGGTCAGAGGTGCTTGGCCTAGTGCCATGAGGTGCCATTCAAAATACTGGCCTGCGTTCCGTACAGGAAGACTGGTGGCATCCCCTTATCCATGGCCCTGGTCAGAGGTGCTTGCCCTAGTGCCATGAGGCGCCATTCAAAATGAGTGTCAATGCAAAACCCTAATGCAAATAACATGCATTGCAGTAACATACGCATTACCACAAAATACTCTATGGAAAAAAATTTGGTTAAACCGAAAGTTTAGTTACATAAAAAAAAAACTGTACATGGGACAGTGCTTACATTCAATAAGAAGTGTCCCTTGTGCTGGTGGCTGCTGTTTTAGTTTGAATCTTCCATCCTCTGCCTCCTCCATACCCCTACTTCCGGTGCTGTGGGGGTTAATACATCCCTCCCACAGCTCTACTCTCTGCATTGCTATGTACAGCACAGTGCTGGTGTCATTGATTATTTTACAAGACAATATCTGCATTTGTAAAGATATTTGGTGCAATCAATGTGGATTTTTATCTTTTGTGGCTATTGAGGAATTTTTTTGTGTGACCAGAGTTCAGAGTTTTTACTTTCAGGTTTGCATAAACCCAATTACAGTGCATTTTTCTAAATTACCAGCACAAAATGCAGCTCCTACTCCAATACTCCTCTTTCTTCCTAGTGCTGTCCCCTGCACACTCCCTGTTTCTTAGTCAAACTGCTCCTCTTCTGGGCTGGGTGATACCCCAACAGTATTTCATTGGAAAAAAATCAATTGCAATTGTTTATTATAATCACAGCTTTTGCAAATTAAATGGCATTCAGTTAGGCCCCATTCACAATTCAGCATTTTGTAGCTTGAAGCTCAAAGTTCCAAAACGCTGGAGGAGAAAAAAAAACACAAAAACTCTCTATGGAGCTGGCTCACGTCTTGTCTGAAAAAAATCTCCAAAAAAGATTTGGAGCTTTTTTGTAGCTCGAATTGGGCAGATTTTTGTTCAATATAAATGCATGGAAACTGTTGATTTAAGTGTTTTTGAATATTTAGCACATTTTGTCGTGCGTTTTTGAGTGGTTTTCTTCTCAAATGCAATAATTAAGTAAAAATAAATAATAGTAAATAACATAAATAAATCAATACATACATAATAAAAATGATAAATAAATAATAAATCAAAACATAATAATAATAATAATATAAAATAAAATAATCCTGACCCCAAACACTAACCCTAATATTAATCCCTAGCCCTAATCCTAACCTTAATATTAATCCCTAACCCTAACAAAATAAATAAGTAAATAAATACAAAAATAATAAATTAAATAAATAAATTAACCCCTAACCTTAACTATAACCTTTAATTCCTAACCATAATCCTTAGACCCTTACAAAAAAAGGAAAACAATGTTTAAAAAAATAACAATAGATAAATAACAAATAAAAGCAGATGAAAACACTGAAAAAAAAAAAGCTGAACAAACATAGCAACAAAATGATGAAACTATGAGATATTATTGTTTATTGGCTAATAAAATAAATGCCAAAGCTGAAAAATGCTTTACAAATGCTGTGCAATAATACTCAAAAATGCACATACAAATGCCTGAAAAAAACGCTCCAAAACACAATGCTCAGGTGTAAATGCAGCCTTAGGGTTTACATCTACTAAAACATCACATATCATATTAAAATATGTTTTACTTTATAACCTACTGGGCCCTCGATCCCCTCATGTTTTGCATTGTATTGGTATTGTTCTGTCACATGTTCTGTCCCCCTTTGTAATGTACATCGCTGAGTGAACTATCGGCGCTTTATAAATACTGTATAATAATAATAATAATACTGGTGCTTTGTATATTTGTAAAATGCTTCTTTAAATACGCCACCTTGTTACAAAGTATATATTTTTACTTGATCTTTTTTCTGTGCAGGTACCTCTATAGGAAAAATCACAGCCCAACCTTTCATATACAATGATGCATTTAAAAGTTTGAAATCCACGTTTTCAATCAACAAGCAAAGGTAAACTTACGGATGAATCAGGACTAACCCTGCAAATAAGCAATCTGCTATTTCTACCTTGTAGATCTATTATGAAAACTGTAATTTCTTATCAGCTGCATTTGTGATAATAATTTGTTAGCAATGTTAACTATCACCTTGGTAAAATAACCTGCTTGTAATGACTAAGAGATAAAAGCAAAATGGTTGTAAAAGCTGTTACACCGCAGTTTATTAGGGCAAATTATTGCTTGTAAATCCTTGCTCCCGGGTAATCTAACCAAAATAATGTTAAACACACGCACAGCCTGCAGGTAGCATAAGTCTTCAATGTCACGTCTACCTGAAGGTGGCTGGCTCATTTTAAAAGGATGTGCCAGAGGGCTCCAAACAGCAGAAAGGATCCAAGATAAAATGTATCATCTTCTCAAGGAACACATCCAACTTTGAAGCTGGTTTATAGATTTGTGTATTTCTATTTTGACAGCTTGTTTAATCTTCTGTCTCATAGATCTGGCCCTACAACACAGGTGTTTTTAGGGGAAAGATCATATAGAGCAGTCATGTCCAAAGTCCAGCTTGTGTTCTGGTTTAATACGGCCCCACAGGTCATTTGGCAATATCTAAAAAGGAGAAAAGCGCCTGTAAGTGCAATATGTGGTACATTTATTGAGGAAAATAATGAGAAACACATGATGAAAGAAAACAAAAGGCTTAGGCATGTGTGGTGAAAGCGAAGGACATGGCGACGTCCACGATGTATATGCCGTAGTAAGAGCTGGAGGAGACTCGAGATGTTCACAGGGAGCCGGCTGTCAAGTGTGAGATCCAAAGATGGCGTCCAAAGTCCAGCTCGTGTTCTGGTTTAATACGGCCCCACAGGTAATTTGGCAATATCTAAAAAGGAGAAAAGCGCCTCTAAGTGCAATATGTGGTACATTTATTGAGGAACATAATGAGAAACACATGATGAAAGAAAACAAAAGGCTTAGGCATATGTGGTGAAAGCGAAGGACATGGCGACGTCAACGATGTATACGCCGTAGTAAGAGCTGGAGGAGACTCGAGATGTTCACAGGGAGCCGGCTGGCATGTGTGAGATCCAAAGATGGCGTCCAAAGTCCAGCTCGTGTTCCGGTTTAATACGGCCCCACAGGTAATTTGGCAATATCTAAAAAGGAGAACAGCGCCTCTAAGTGCAATATGTGGTACATTTATTGAGCAACATAATGAGAAGCACATGATGAAAGAAAACGAAAGGCTTAGGCATATGTGGTGAAAGCGAAGGACATGGCGACGTCTAGATGTATACGCCGTAGTAAGAGCTGGAGGAGACTCGGGATGCTCACGGGGAGCCAGCTGGCATGTGTGAGATCCAAAGATGGCAACCGGAGTCCAGCTGGAGCAGAACGTCTACGTCAGCGTGATGATGTAGGGATTTCCAGCATGCAATGCGGCGCATTTCGGAGCATGCACGAGGCCAATGAAAGGCAAAGGTGCTCTCCCTTCTCAAGCATTGAAGGAAATCAGTGAGAGTAATTTCACACTTTTTGTTTTTTAGGGGGAGAAACAAGTACAGATTTCAAATATGTCATGACCAGTATCAGTCGCTCCTTTATCCATTCATTTTTTTGCTGCAAAATGGCCGGCCCTTACACATGTTCACTTTATCAAATTTGGCCCTCTTTGAAAAAAGTTTGGACACCCCTGATATAGGGGAACCTAGGGGTATCAAACATGACTACAGCCCTTCCCATTTTCCAAGAGTGTCCAGGCTGGGTGCAAATTTAAATAGGTGATCTGTGAGAATGTAAGGATGAGTGTATCTGCTTGGGTTCAGGTCACAAACAATTTTGCCAAATTTTCCCAAAATTCGTGAACTTTGTGGCCAACCGCATTGAGGTCTATGAAGAGGCAAATCTTGTTATTCAATTCTGCCCATTTGTAGGGCTAATAAGCAAACTGTTGTCAATTGAAAGTTGGGCATTGTCACTGGGTACATGTACCAATGCTAACAAAATTCATGAAAATTAGAAAAACAGTATATTTCCTGCATGGGACTGTCAGATCTGCCTAACTGCTCCAACACACAATGGCAATATAGCTGCTGGTGTCCACCTATTTATAGAAAGGTGGCTCAGTTATCCATTCTTTAAATTATTGGCTCTTGAATGAAAATTACTTGAAAACATATGTAGAAAAGAATCTATACTGTTGCTAATTATAAGAGGCGGAATTAAGTTACATTATTAATTGTTTATTCTGTTACAATAATATATAGCAACAATGATTTTTTAATCTTTTGAGAGAAATGATTGATACCTTATAATGTATTGGTAATATTGTGGTGCATTCATTGTTATCTATTTTTGTATGGATAAGTGTCTGTTGGGTATTGTCTTCAATAAAAACCTTAAAATAAAAACTTGATCCAAAAAAATTATTTGGACTATGCACTGCATTATAGCTTGTTTCTTTTTTCTGACATCGAAACTGCAAACTTTTCAGGCAAAAAGTTTGCGATTTGTAAACTATGCTAACTTCAGTGATATACCATAAACACACGGTACAAGTGAACCCTTATCTCTAATCAAGAAGGCTTTTTGTCCTCTCCTTAATCCATAAATGGAACAAAAATCTCATCCCTAACCAGAATTACTTGCATATGTTTCTATATGTGGAGCCACCCTCCATTATTAGAAAGGGGGCTAGTTTATCATTTCTGTAAGTTATTGGCTCTTGGGACTCATTTTACCAGGTAAAAGACTACGCGCTGCAATATGGCTTGTTCCTATTTCTGCTGGCAAACCTGCAAACATTTCAGCCAAAAGTTTGCAATTCGTGAACTTTTCTTATTTCAGGGATTTGCCATAAACGCATGGTAGCAGTGAATCTTAAAGTGGAGGTCCAGTCAAAATTTAAAAAAAAAAAAACAAAACAAAAAAACAGATGCTCACCTGTCCCTCGATCCAGCAGTGTCCTTACTGCAGCCAGGTTCACTGGTCGTCCTGTGTCCCTGGTGCCGGCATCTTCAGTGTGGGCACCAGGCTGTGCCATCTTGCAGCTTTACATCCAGGTACCCACTGCGCATGCGCGAGTAGTGCTTCGCTTTCTGAATGGTCCTGTAGTCTTCTGGGACCTGTCATATGTCCCAGGAGACTACAGGGAGGGAGAGGGAAGATAACGTCCGCTTCTGATCACCTAGGGAATTTCAGAGGAAGTGGGAGCGGGTATCTGTCATTAGGGGGTACCCTCTCCCTTCCCACTCCCCAAAGGTGCCAATCCTTAACAAGGAGTGGGGAATGAGGCCTTAAAGCGGAACTTTCTGTTTTGGGTGGAACTCCGCTTTAAGCTCATCCCTACTCAATAAAGCTTTTTTTGTCTCCTTATTCTAAAAATGGAACCCAAAACTCATCCCTACCCAGCAGCTCTTGCAAATGTTTCAATGTGTTGGGTGGTTTCTGCTGGACTCTACTCACTGGAGGTAACTGGATTTTCAGACTTGCTACTTTGCAAGTAATTCTGGGCTATAGAAACTGAGGACCCTGCCTTCTGAGTCCAGGCATGACTGTACCCTTTTGTAAAAAGTTGTTGATAACAGATTTCCCCTATCACCACCTGTTCAGGTGAGACCATTCAAAAATTAATTTACAAAGGGAGAGTCTGAAGGCAAACAGCTACGTCTGTACATTTCTTCATTGAAAAAAAATATTATATGTATAAAAACATAAAAAAACCCCATAAAAACATAACATAAAAAATATTAAAATAAACCCAGAATCACTGATTTCCCTTTAATTAAATCAAGTCAGTGTGTTTAATCAACCACAGATCCTGTGTAATTCACACGCGTCAACGATTAAAGAAAAAATATGTTCTTTTTTTTCAAATACCTTCCAATTGTTACATAAAGCTTCCATTTTGTGGACACCCATCATGGGAAAACTATGGGAGCTGTCACTGTTGACCTTTCCTTGTGAGAAGGGTAATTTCCTGGTTGCCATGCTAATGCTAACATGTCAGCGAATTCTGAGTGACTAACCTGGAACAAGTGAAGAAACAAGGAATTTTTTAAGTAATCTTTATTTCATACATGAGGATAAAAAAATTCAGCTGTGTAACAAAGTTGCCATGATGTATAGCCCACAGTGAGCTAAATAGGAGTATCAAAGCAAAAATATCCATAAGCTCCACATGGCCAGGTGTGGCCAATAGGCAGGCACTTGTCAGATGAGAAATTTGGGAACTTGAGTGGCCCGATCCCTAAAGCAGGGAGCGCACAACCCACTGGTCAGGATGGACCAGCAGTGTATGGCCCCTGCCCAGGACACACTAACCCACCCAATTTGAATGATTCCCACACAGAAGGTTCTAGAAAGATGCCTGGTCATTTCGTATGGACTAAATAGCTCAGCCACTGTGTAGCATGAGCTGCGGTAGGTACCCAAGAAACAAAAAGAGTATAAGTAAAAACAGTACAAAAGAAAACAGACAATGATACAATTATAAAAAATAAAAAAAGCCCTCTGTTAGTGTAGGAGCTCTGAATAGTAGCCATAGACAACAAGTCTGACCAAGACATAGGCTTGAAAAGGTATGGGTTCAAATACTATATAAATTCAAGTACAAGAAAGAGGGCCTGGGAGAAAGAGGCTGTGGTCAGCAGCTACACCTTCACCTGTTAAGAGAGCCCCGGAGATGGGGACTGCAGAGTCCTCTGAAGTGTAATGGATCCACATGGTCCAGATTGTGTAAAACGTGTTATATCCATCCTTACATGTGGCCAGAAACAAGGAATTTTGACACTACTCACACACTCATTTACAGCATCCACATTTTTGACTCAAAAGCATTGAAGCCAGACACATCCAAGCAAATATCATTTTCAGAAGGATGTCGGCAATGGGGGGCCCTCATACTCTTTTTATGTCAGGTATAATTTGAGCTTTCAGGATCAAGAACATTAGGTGTATTCAGTGATGTAGTAGCAAGGATAACAGATGTGGTAACTGTTTGAAGGGCAGTGGCCCTGGTGTGAGGGCAACATATTCAAATGAGGGCACAGTTCTGATTGAAAATAGGGATGAGCAAATCTTCCTGGGTTTGATTCATGATCATGTCTGCAAAACTTGCTCAATTTTTTCAGGGCGAATCTTGTTATTAAATTCTGGCCATTTGTAGGACTAATAAAAAAAAGTACCAATGGCAGAATTAAAAATAATGAATTAAATAAAAAAAAAAGAAGTACACAGAATTGTCAGTTCCAAAACACAATTACAATATGGCTGCTGTGAGCTAGCCTTGTTATGGAAAGGAGGCTGGATTGTCCATTCCTTCAAATTATTGGCTCTTGTGTCCAGGGGCGGACTGACCATTTGGAAACTCGGGCACTACCCGAGGGCCTGGGGTCAGTAGAGGGCCCCATGAGATGCCCCTGGTACCTTTTTCATAGGCTTTTTTGAGTTTGGGCAAGGACACAGGGGCCCCATGATCCCCTATTGCCCGGGGGCCCCATGAGTTGTCAGTCCGCCCCTGCTTGTGTCTCAGCTGACCACAGAAAAAGATTCAGCACTGCATTACAATTATTTCCTGCTTCTTCCAGTGACTATGCACAGCTTTTAGCCAAATGTTTTGATTTGCAAACTTTGCATATCCAGGGGATTTACTGCAAACCCTGGTAGTGGCGAAACCTGATCTCCTAATTTAGATGCCTTTTTTTTTCCTTCTCCGAATTCCCTATTTGGAAGTATCAATGAGATAAATGTAATAGTTTTTTACAACTTTCTCTTTTTTCATGTACTTAGCGATAGGTATTGGCTCATATTTTGCATTAGCCCAATTGGAGCAACAGCCCTCAGCTAACAATAACAAAGCCACTATGTAGAAATGCTTAATTTAGTAAATTTTTACAGAAAATACCAACCATTCATCAGCTAGCTTGTATCTCTTCAGTGTAACTTAGGCGTGAAAGCCAGTGTCTAAGTGGTTGATACTTTTTGCACCCAAGTTCAATGTCAGTATGTAATCTGCATTATCTTCAGTCGATTTGGCTTTGGCAGACCATTCAATAATTCATAATAGTCAGGCACAGTTTACTCTGGGTTTTTTACCTCCCTAAATTAATATTTACATGTTTTACAGGGAATAAAACCAGACTGAGCTAAAGTAAGTTCCATTTATAGATATAAAACTGAGATATATTGTTTCACCATTGCTAAATTGACTCCTTATTGTAAAAAGAAAACGAGACGGGATATGCCAGGAAATTGACTAGAAGCCTGCAGGCTACAACACAGTCAGGAATTTTAATTTCCTTAGGCCAGGCTTTGCAGCTGGAGATTAGGAGCATACAATTAACTATGATCTTACAGAGATAACACGCTCATGACTTCTTCAGTTTTGTTCTGTTGCCAAAAAGTGCGCCTTTATGAAAGCTTTCATGGTAATACTTTCTGTGATTATTTTTTACTTGGTAAGCTGAATGTACTCATCGGGTCTTAACGTATACCTGTTGCCATGGCCACGAGTGGACAAAAAGTTGGACATCACTAGAGAATATCACACCACCTAAATATCACACCATCCAGACATGAATTTAATGAAACTCCTATTCTCCATATTCACTTATGAACAATACTGAAGTAGATGGTTTAACAGCCCTTAGGATCTACCATGCTTGGTCTTCACTGTGCTGATTAGATATGGCTGAACATCTGACTGATAGAAAAGAGTGATTTTTGCCTAGAAAGGAAGACCACCTAAGGGTGTTATCTCAGATTTGAACTACAATTCAGAATGTCACATAGTTTTCAAATATAGTTTAGATGCAGTAATTACCTATCACTAACCCCTTTGTAAAAGCTTTTAAGCAAACATGTACATAGTGGGACTGTGACGATCACGGCGTTAGACCCCAGCCCTTCTCACCAAACTTGTGACCGAAGGACTAGCCAATCTAAACCGAGCTGTCACGTGCGTAAAAATGCCATGCTCAGGTGCACCCTGCACAACGATTTTCCAGCTAATTGACCACCTGCAGCCTGAGCACGATTGTTACTGGGTCAGGTTAATTACGCAATTAACCCTTCACACTGCCACCACCTCCTTTCTGTACAGAGAAAGAGGAAACTCGGCAATATCAGCAATAACACTATGATGTTTGAATAATCGTCGGTATACCACTGTCACCCCAGGCAGCAATATACCGAAGTTTAAAACACACACACAGTAGCCCTTTTCAGAGGCAGGGGTTCTGAGTTTGCATTAAAGAGCTTTAGAAACAGTTCAACACTTTCAGAAAGTAAGATTTATTACTAAAAGGTCAAAAGGCTGCAATAAAAATATTTACAGAAAAAGATGTAGCCAATATATATATAAAAATATACAGAAAACAATAGCACAGCAAAGAGATAACAGAAAGAAGTTTAGAGGGATAAAGTACTTGCCGTCAGCCTTGGGTTAAGCAGATCAGGTTTCAGAGCCAAAAGGATGCTTTTATCTCCCACTGTTAGTTCCGATGTTAAAAAGGGAGATTCTTCAACTTCTACACAACTCAGCTTAGCTTAGCTTTTTCTAGAAACTCCACAGGGTGTCTCCCTGGTGCAGTAAACCAATCGCCTCATTTGGGGAGGGAGTTGTAGGTGGAGACCCAAGCTATGACCAAAAACTCTCTTAGCTTATATTATGGTTTATAACTTATTCTTGGTTCATTTAGCAGCCTTGCCACTAGTAGATTAGTATGCAGACGCATCTGCTGAACGGTTAGATATGAAATAGTAAATATCCGCTTGAATGGTTCTGGAGATATAATTTTTTGTTCTCCTGTATATGTCAGATAGGGGGTGTAATATACCCGGAGACTGGTCTTAAAGTGAGCTGTCCGAATATGAGCTCCATGTTTATGTAATTCTGTCCTATTTCAAGATATAAAATTATATGGAAAAGTGAGGTTTTAAATGTAAGTCTGTTTTACAACCCCCTGGAATGTCTTTTGAAGCTCGGTGAGGGCTCGGTTTATGGCTTGATGAGCCCCTCGCTAGCAAGAGTTTCCTAGACAGAGGGGCACCAGCTAGTGAGGTTTAAAGCCATGACGCCCTCCCAATGAGTTTGCTGCCTGTGATCTCTGTCATCAAACAGACCACATGTCACTCAACAGAGAGGGAGGGGGGATGAGGAAAACTGATTTGGGAGTGAGAGATACAATATGGAGGGGTTTGGAGCAAAATGGATGATCGCGTCCATCTCTGTGTGCATAATTGCTACAGGGACATGCACAAATCTTTATGTAGCATGACCCTCTTAGGAGTCGCTGAGTTTTGGGTCCCCCTATAGTTCTGCACAGCCAGGAAACTCACATTTTCTTCCTCCACACTTGCAGACTGACGACAGTAACCAATTCTTAGGCTTGTTTTTGTAGTTTTATTCAGGGGTATAGAACTTGGATGGGGTTGAGGGATACACGGGATGTCCAAGGAACTGTGAACTGTGAGGAAAATCTCCTTAACAACTATGTACAAGTCTATGGGAAAGAAAAATCCGTCTCCTCAGACCCTGGGTGAAACCTCCTCATTACCCAGCTGCACTGACTGCATTCCCTGGGCAAGGGAATCCAGAAGCTTGTTTTCTTCCCTGTCAAATGCTCCGGGCTGAGGAGATAGTTGGGTTCTCCATCCTACTGCCTCTCCCCTTATCTGGCCAAGGGGGTGTAAGGTTACTTCCTGATAGCTTTATGGATTGGTGGCTGCCTTCAGGTCTTATGCATGGCTGGCTCCTTCACTACTGGCTCCTTCCCTGCTGCTCAGATTGTCCTTCTTGGTAGACGGTGGAACAGTGGAGGTCCCCTCTCTAAGCACCTACCTGTAGGTAGGACCCTTCCCTGGGCCCCCTCCCAGGCTCCACACTCCAGCCTCTTACTCCATCTTCCACTCGATTCTGACTGACCATTTCCTGCTGATCAGGCTCAATCATATGTAAGGGCTATCTTGACCCCATTCCATGCCTCCTGCTTTGGGAATGGTCAAGATCCCTCACTCTCCTCACGCCCACCCACTGCCTTCTAGAAACCTCTCAAGCTTTTAGAGCAGGGGGAGGTATCAGGGAACTGACCTGAAGAGCCCTCAGCCTTGACCTAAAGTTACTTGGCTGACTCATCCTAGGCTGACTCATCCCAGGCTGCTACTCAGCTTCCAACTAAAAACCTGTCTAGCTCCCCCTAGCTAAACATGAGGGGCGCTACATTTATATGATTCCTCCAGCACCAGGGATGCCCAGAATTCGAAGGAATTTTGACACATCTTGATAATGTGTTAGACTAGACAAGGCCTTGAAATTTCCAGTCCCCTGCTCTCATTGGTGAGTGGAAATAAGGTGGGGGCAATTGTGTCCCCCAGGGCCGTCTTGCTGAGCAGGCTCAGAACTCAAAGCCGGCTCTGTCACTTGCACTGGGAGCCATCAGAAAGCAAAAGAAGGGGGAGTGTGTGCTGTGCTCTCTGCCTCCCCCTAGAGCGCAGTACCCGACTCTGTAAGTGAAGGTAATGAAGTACTGCAACTTTTTATAGGGCTGTGTGTGTATGTATGTGTGTGTATGTATATGTGTGTGTATGTATGTGTATGTATGTGTATGTGCATGGGTATAGGATTATAACTTGCTTTTTTTTTCTATGGTTGAACTGGATTGACTTTTGTCCTTTTTCAGCCAGACTAACTATGTAACTATGTAACTATGTGTATGTGTGTGTGTATGTATATGTGTATGTATGTGTGTGTGTGTATGTATTTGTGTGTATGTATGTGTGTGTATGTGTGTGTGTGTGTATATGTATATGTGTGTGTATGTATGTGTGTGTATGTATATGTGTGTGTATGTGTACATTACATGTGTCTGTGTGTGAGTACATGTGTCTCTGTGTGTGTGTATGTACATGTGTCTGTACATGTACCTGTGTGTGTACATGTGTCTCTGTGTGTGTGTGTGTGTGTGTGTGTGTGTGTGTACATGTCTCTGTGTGTGTGTACATGTGTACATGTGTATGTGTGTATGTACATGTGTCTGTGTGTGTGTGCATGTGTCTGTATGTAAACATACATGTATGAGTGGTTTGGACAGGTTCAGGATGATGTGGGTATTATGGGTGGTAGAGTATGGGGCATTTGAGGTACTGCTGGGTTGGATAGAAGGTAGGATATGCTTGGCAGAGTTATGGTTTGGTGAGTGAACGGTTATGGGGGGTTATGGTTGTATGTGGTGCATGGTCTAAGTATGATGAAGTGTTTAGGGGGACATTGGACACCCGGATATAATGTGGGTAACATTTAACAGTGTCATTTCATGAGATAATTTACAAGGGCGGGTTTAGGGGCGGGTTTAGGGGCGTGGCAGGATAGGGGTTGGGTGGGGCAACTGTTGGCAAGTAACTCTTAAGGCCTGGCTAGTAGCTCAGGACTTGAAATTTTGAGCCCTGGACTAGACCATCCTCTGGTTCCTTTGCATTCCAATTGCACAGTAAGGCC